GTCAAGCGGGTGGGCAAGGTCTCCTACACGGTGGAGCTTCCACCCAAGTTGAAGATACATCCAGTCTTCCATATTAGCATGCTCAAGCCTTATCATAAAGACACGGAAGACCTTACTCGGGGCATATTGCAGAAGGCACCCACGGCCGTTGTCACATTCTTTGACAATGAAGTTGATTGTATCCTTGCGGATTATGTGATGAGCAGAAGAGGTGTGCCCAAGTATACAGAGTATTTAGTGAAATGGAAGAACCTGCCAGATAGCGAGGCGAGCTGGGAACATGAGGATACACTTTGGCAGTTCGCAGAGCATATCCATCGGTTCAAGCAAGAAGACGCGACGAGGGCGTCGCGAGCTTAGGTGGGGGAGAATGACACGCCCCGCAACTAAGAGGCTACGCCATGCAAGTGCCACGTAAACACCCAGCAGACGATGACATGGAGCCTGCATGGACAGGAGCTTTCTAGACTTCTCTACACAAGTATGGAACTTTCCGGAATTCTCTAGATTAGTGTGGAGTTGTCTATCCTTTTCTAGACTTGTCTAGAGTTGTATAGAATTCTCTAGACTTGTCTTGTACATTGTACATAGTTCTAGAATTGTGTAGATATTTCTTTGGAGGATTCTAGACACTAAATCTAGGTCACACATTTGTACACATCTAGAATGTTCTTATAAAGCCAAAGGCCTATAAATAGGAGGTGGGAGTTCATTTGCTCCTCACCAAGCAACCAAGTTGTAATCTTCTCCTCTCAAGCAATACAAGTTCTATACATTCCCAAACTCTCTTGCTCATTTGCCTAATCTCTTCTTACACACCCAAGTAAGCAAAACACTTGTCTAGCCTTAGTTTTCACTAAGCTAGCACACTCAAGTAGGCTGACTTAGCGCTTCAAGGGGGCTTGAAAATGTCTAAGGCCAATAGGCCCAAATATATATATATATATATATATATATATATATATATATATATAATAATAATAATAATAATAATAATAAAAACTTAGAGCTTTCAATGAAACAAATTCACAGCCCATTCAAAATTAGTGCCCTTAAAAATTTGGTGATTAAATTAAAAATTAAATATGGCCCTTTACTACTTTATGTGTATGTTAGTGTGTATTTCAGTAATTAAAGGGTCTAACATTTAAGTTCGCCTATAGCCTCTTAAGATTTTGTTAATCTCAGGCCGGCCTTGCCCCCCGCCCCCGCCCCCACCCTCATCCAGCAATTAAATTGAGTACGCGGGTCGGCGTCGGCACTTTGTCTGTTGAAATAGAGGCAGGAATGGTATACAAATTATAAACCCGTTTCAAAGTAGGGACGGAGTTGTGATGACGAATTTTATAAGGAGGAGAATAGGGTTTAGGCAAATTCACCCAAATTTCGTTAGCCATCCTTTACCCGTAACGATCTCATATTAATTAGACCATTCTATTTATTCGAGATAAACCTAGACATCTTCCGGATAAGCACTAAACATCAACAAATAAGACTTAGGGCCTATTTGGATTGGCTTTTCAAATGCTATTTTTGACTTTTTGGGCTTGAAAGTTGTTTTGAGTAGTATTTGGTTAGTTTTTAAAAAGAGCTTTTGGGGCTTAGAAGAGCGTTTTGGAGAAGATAGTGCCCCCTAGCTTCTCTAAAACGCTCTTCTAAAATACACAATAAGAGTTTTGGGGGCATTAATAAAACTTTTTAAATGAGCGTACCCTTTATGTTGGCCCTGTTTGGGGGAGCTTTCAGTTTATAAAATTTCTTCCACTGAATCGACTTTCAAGAATGTATTTTGATAAATGGAATTTAAAACAAAAAAGTTGTTTGGTGGGTAAATTTTTTTAAGCTCTTTAACTATTAACATAATTTAACTTTGACAATTATATCTTTAATAAACCATAAATAATAAGTAAAGAGTTGAATTGGAATGTACAAAGAAAGAAAAAAAAAAAATTATAATTAACGTGATGGAGTGAAATTGCTAATGATGCAATGAAAGATCAGGATATACAAATTTAACGCAATCTACATGGTAGATTTTTTTTTTCTCCTTGACTACATGATAGAAGTTAAAAGAGATAGAAAAAATAAAAGGAAAGAAAAATAAACAAAAGAGAGAGATGGCAGCAAAAATATTCAATTTTTATTTTTATCTATATCTATAAATCACTTTAAAGCGGAATGGGTAGCCTTCAAAAAAGAAAAATAAAATTATAAATACATATATATATATATATATATATATATATATATATTGTGTGTGTGTATATATATATATATTTTTTAGAGGAAGAAAAATTATTTAGAATTCTACATAGAATTGAAGTTTAAATGAGAGTTCATAAATCTTGGAACTCTTCGGACTATGAAGTCTGCTAAATCTTTTTGTTCTTCTTGAATCGTTTTTCAACAATGTTTTTTTCAATAAAGTTTTGTGAAATTTTGCTCAGCATTATTTTTTAAAATTTTTGGGTAGAGAAGAAGGAAGAAGATGACGCAAAAATATAATGATAAAAATTTGCAATGAAATTCAGAAATGGAAATAGGTTAAATAATGGATAATATTAGAATTTTATATTTATTACTTAAAAAAGTCTGTAGGTTGTGGGAAGTCGATTAGGAAACATGTTTTATTGGTTTTGGACAATCGGGCTTCTAAACCACTGAAACTTTTTAAAAGTCCATTTCAGAAATTTTACCAAACGCTCTTTATTATTGACAAATGACTTTCTGGGCTTAGAACCTCATTTTGAAGCTACAGAAAACCCAGCCAAAAAGGTCCATTATCTCATAACAAATTATAATTCCAACCATATCCTTATAAAAAAAAACCCCTTATTCTATTTCCAACCCCTAATGTCAAAAAAATTCACATTGGTATTCTCTGGCAACCCCCCCCGGTAACATATCCCTTCATACTCACAAGAACCATCCCCCCCCCCCCCCCCCCCCCCGGCGGGCGAACAATCACTGGCTTCCATAGAAATACATATTTCAACGCTCTATCCTACAGTCACAAATCTTTAATTTTTTTTTTACCCTTCAAATTGAATTCCCTCCTGTTGCAACAATGGATTCATAAAGTTTTTTTTTTTTTTTTTTTTTTTTTTTTTTTTTTTTTTTTTTTGTATCAGATTAATTTACCGGCATAGATCTTTCCTGTATTGCAATTAACTCCATTGGAAAGTCTAACGTTGACTGTAGCAATATTTTTCTTCTTTTTCTTTAATTTCCGTATAATATAATTAAGTTTGTTATTATAAGGAAACAAAGTCATGAAACATGAGATTAATTATTTTCGTTTTAGAAGAAAAATGTTGTATATGGCATATTGTGGATAAATTTGATTATATTGAGTGGTTTATTTGTATGTCTAGTTGTGAAAAATAAGTTAAACAAAAATACTCTATCTAAGGGCAAAATAATTATTTCAGTTGTTGAAGAGCTTTCGTAAATGTTTAGCCAAATAGATTGAAAAACTCTTCTACCATTTAAAACTATTCTAAAATACAGTTTCTAAAAACTAACAAATAAGCAAAATAAAAGTGATAGTTTCTATTTCTCTCTTTATTCTACATAAAACCGAAAGCAAAAACTATACCAGTCCTTAAAATGTGACTCTAATACCAACAACATATAAGAATTTTGTCTTTCAAACTCAAAAACTTAGAACTGCTGCCTGCCTCTCATATACGTTGAAGACCTCCATCAGGTTTCTTGTGAACAAACACCTCTCAAAAGTGTGTGGCTCTCTATATCTTCTTACTGCTGTCGTGATATATACGATTGTCCTCCAAGAAGATGAAATGACAAATTAGCCCCGTGATCCTATGGACAAGGGTCACATCGGACAATTTGGACTGCATGCCCTTTCATTGACCGTGTAATGTTGCGGCCCATAGCCAAATTGGACGGATGATGTGCCCTTTCATTTTAAATTTTGTTTTATATTTCTAAATTTTTCACTTGCAAGTGAAAAATATCTTGTGATATCTACGTCATGTACATTATTATTCATAAATTTGTCAAAAAAAAAAAAAATTCTTTCTATTTGTTTTTTTACCAATTTTTAAAATTTTCATAATTTATTATTTATTTATATTTTAAAATTTTCACTCATAAATAGGCGTTATGACTGATAATCTTCTTAGTATTTTTTATTTGTCATGTATCCTTCTAATTTATTATAATTTTTAGATTTATCTTTTATTTTTATTTTTATTTTTTGTTTTTATGCATAAAACAATTTCCGTATCAGCATGTGGTCGTCCAGCCATGAGCAGAGGGAATTTATAGGTATGGAAACAGGGATCAGCTTGAGGGTTAAGCACTGACTAATTAATCTAAGCAACTATACTTTTTCATTTTTCCACTTAACCATTGAACAAACCAACGAAGAGGAAAGTTCAACCAGCCCAAGGAATTTTTTTACGGCTAATATAAAAATTTGTACAAAAATATGTTTGATTGAGGGTTTCTAAAAAAATATTTTCCCGTATCTTAATTAATAAAAAATAAATCGATCAAACAAGCCATACTTTTCTTGGAATAGCAAATGCCCCCAAAAAAGCTCCCTGTATGCTCTTAGTCATCCATGGATGAAATTTTACATGACCAATTAGGTTCACAAGTAAAATAAACAGAGACATTATGTTGACCCTTACATCGGCAGGCTCTGTTGATTCAGAAATTAGCTCGGTATGGGCTTGGTTTCGAGTTGTAAAGATCTGATCAAACGGTCTATCTTTAATGAGTTCAAATGCCTTAAATAGAAAGGACTTTAAAATGTAACGAATTGCAACAAGAACGACCTAAAATTGAACTGAAAATGGAAACTGGAATGCATCTATGGCTGCTGGAAAGCAAAACTGAAATAGCAAGTGGTAGTAACAGATTGGAAAACAAGAAATTGCAATTAACAAGGAACAACTAATAAATGAAATAATCAAGTAAAGAAAGTTGTATTATATTAGGAAATTTATATTAAACAAAACAAGGAAGCATGATTTAGAAAGAATTTTATTTAGTTGATTGTGAGGTGCTGGACCCTTTACAAGGAATGTTTCTCCCATTATTTATGCTAAAACAAAATAACAAACTCCTACTATCCATCAAACTGGATCACCATGCAATTTCCAAGCCTGGATAACCCACCAACCACCACTTCCAAATGGTCCTTCACCACTTTCAATCTTTATCTTAATCTTCTAATTATCCATCTTGTTTAAAATTAAAGTATTTAAACCAGCAAACAACATCAACATCTTACTATAAGAAATCAAATAGCTACTTGAACTTGAATATGTGTCGCTCGGAATGCGAGCTCAGTTCTGGGCTCCACCATTGTTGGATTCCATGGTCTGGTATAAAATTCTTGGAAGGGTTCATATTTTGAGTCAGAAATGCTGAAGGAAGTAGTAGTTCTGATTCCAATGTCCCACTAATTGAAATACGTGTTCTGAGTTTTCCCATAGACTTCCGTTTTTGAAAATGCCCAATATACCCTGAGCAGATAGGATCATAAGGATTCACAAACAGGTTGGGGACCCATTCAGATAATGCAACAAAATTTTTACGATCTTCACGCCTTTGTTGATGACCTTTCAGAGTAAAAGTAACTCCCGTCTTGAGGAAACCTTTTGCAGAGCGTAACGCATTCTTGGCTTTATCATTCTCCAACCGCTGTTCTATTGGAAAAGAACTAATGGATGGTGAATTAAAAAGGTAAGTTTCAATAGCATAGCCCATATTCTTAAACATGTTCTTCCCAACGAGCAGCGCCATGGCTGACCCCAAAGAATGTCCAGCTAACCAGATGTTTGCAGCTCCATATTCTGCGGCCATGTTTCGAACTATTTCCATTGCAAGCCCAAAGCGGGAGCTCTCTTGAAGTCTGTTGAAAAAGATCTCGAAATCCAACTTGAGATCCTGACGCCAAGTGTCTCGTTTGAAGAGTGTGCCTCGAAATGCAATAACACGTTTTGGGGCCTCATCCAAATAGTGGGAAGAAACGATCTCATAAATTGCACCAAAGATGGAGTGATCATTAACATCTTCTAGCTGTTCGATCAACTTAAATCCAAAAGACTCCCACCAGGGAGGAGCAAGAGCTTGAGGAGTCCCTTGGCTATTCTTCTGGCGATCATGTTCCTGAATGTACACTCCCTCAACTAAGCAAGCAGCAACACACCGTCGGTAATCTCCGTCGTTCCTGCAAACGAATATAACACTATCTGAACATATATAGAGTATTTCAACAATATGAAAGATAAAACCATTAAAAAATAATAGCTCAACCCAACCAAGATAAAACCATATTGCTTTGACTCATTGTGTATTAATAAATTTGATATATTATTGTTCTTTGTGTTTTATGATCTGCGTGTTTATCCCCCAACACAAACTAGGGCTATGTCCGCGCGTAATTTCTTATCAAACAGCAATAGAATATAGAATGTAGTTGATGTAGAACTAACAATTTTTAAACTTTTGACCTATTTTAAAACCCAATGGTGCACAGAAAACCAGACTAGACCATCAACCAGGAGAAATATTTCACACAGTAGGACTTAAAATTGTCCAATAATACTTTGAAAGTCAAAACATTTGAGTGTGGGAAAGATTATAAGCAAACAAAGAATAGCTGTAAAATGGTTCTTACCAATTAACACAACCAATCAGATGTTGTGGTACTCCTGACCCGGAGAAACTTTCCCTTGGAGACTCCATGAGTGAATATATTCCTTTTCGGCCTTCCACCTGATCGATGTCCTCAAAGTGAACTCTGTCACGTAATGTCACACGTACATGCTTTGATAATTAATTATTACAGTATGATCCAAAAAGTTGATGCATAAAACGTTTTAATGAACAAAAAGTCAAATTCTTTTCAATGTGTCCTCCCTCTCCTTTTTTCATGTCTGGGAGATTACTTGAAAGTCGAATGCAAGAATGCCAATGTACAATATTGCTATATAATTACTTCACGTCATATGGAAACAAGACAATGAGGAAAGTACAACCAGTACGAGTGTTGTCTATTGCTAGATTATAATCATCCACAATTTTTTCTCAGTACATGCAGTTAAATCATATGATATGGGAATATATATATATATACACACTGTGATAGATGTATAGAATTTCTAAAGTTTCCAGGTATCTAAACCTATTCAACATAAAACAAGATTAAGGCAATGGATCAATTACATCATCAAATCAACTAATCAACCTTACTCCAACCAAATTCCCAACCTATATGAATCTTGTTCATCCCTTCCGCAATATTGCCCCCTGTTCTATTAAATCGTAGTCTTTTTACAAGATCAATGTCTTTTAATTATAGTGAGAGTCTCAAACCTTCACCAATAGCCAGTCACTGGTCTTTTCTGCACTTAAAGAATGCATGTATAATTCATCAACCCCCCATGTCCATTAATATCAAAGCCAGTTTGGTTCTTTCAGTGAACAATTAATACTTCCAAGTTATTTTTTAGAAAAATGATAATATATATCATCTCCATTCTAAAAGACAATAATTGAATAATGACTCTTCTGTGGGTAATGGGTATAGTTTCAACCCGCACGAGTGGCCCAGTGGTAAGGAATCTCCTAGGGAACCATAAACGCGGACATCCTAGGTTTAATTCGCATGGAGTTTGCAAATCTTCCATAGAGTCTAAAGTTGCTAGCAGGTGAGTTAATTCTTCACTACAAAAAAAAAAAAAAAAAACACACACACACACACACAAAAGGTACTGTTTCAAGTGGTCTAGGTTTTGGTAAAATCCCTTCATAAAACTGCCTCGTGATGTTTCAGTCCATGATTAGTGAGCCAGCTTTTCCAGTAATTTGCGACCAAAATCACCAACTAAAAGAGAACTTTTTTATTATAAGTTCAAGGATTAGAGTCTTCTGATGTGCAAAGACAACTTCTCTTAGAAGTTGTAAGTTTGAAGTTCTAAGAAATGTCATAGTGAAAGCCACTTCAAACATTAATGAACAGACTTACCCAAAAAAAAAAAAAAACCATTAATGAACAGTCAGTACGTAATATTCTAGCATCCAAAACTGCAGCTAACTTGCGTGAAACTCCTATTAGGTTAAGAAGGTACAGTTGCAGGTGGATAACTATTACGAAGATAGATAGTGAGAAAAGTATTTGGACTGCAATATACCTAAAGGTTAGGTACAGTCCTAAACATAGAAAAATCCTTTTGCCAGGGTATGCTTAAGTCACAAAATATAGAAAGATTGAAAAGCAACAAATCCATACAACAAATTTAATCATAAAACCATACATCTTAATTTAGACTATAAGAACACAAACCGCATGCAGTTATCATCAGTAGAAGCAATTGGGCATTAGTTAAATGACATAAAAATAATAATAATAAAAAAAATATAATAATAAAAACGAAAATCAGAATCTAAATTCACATATATGGAATAGTTGATACTACAACAAAACGCAATTCAAGTTCACAAGAATGTTATATATAAATAAATATCCCAATAAATTAAGTACCGAATCAGAACTTACATTTGAAAGCGTTAATTGATGGTTGTTTGGGATGGGTGCCTTGATTCTCTCTGGTCTGGTATTTCTTTCGGTAAGGGACGAGCTAGAGCTGAAACCAACAAGCAAACAAGCAACGTGTGTGTATGTATATATTTCTGCAATATGAGAGAGATTTTGCAGAGTGTAGTTTCGTGAGAAGCTGCATGAGAAGAATTACGGTAACAAACACCACAAGCAAACAATGTACTACTTCCAGTGTAGTTTCAAGGTCAACTTGTAATTAATGATTTTATGGAAATTAATGCATTGGCGAGAATATTCGACCTTAAAATTATTTTCTCTCGACTTTGGCTTATATATATTTTTCTGCAATATGAGAGAAATTTTGCACAGTGTAGTTTCGTGAGAAGCTGCATGAGAAGAATTACGGTAACAAACACCACAGGCAAACAATGTACAATTTCCACAGTGTAGTTTCGTGAGAATATTCAGAAGTCAAGGTCAACTTGTAATTAATGATTTTATGGAAATTAATGCATTGGCGAGAATATTCAACCTTAAAATTATTTTCTCTCGACTTTGGCTTATTTCTTAGCACCTTTGATCTTTTACATGAATATTGCGTTGTGATTCAGAACAAAACAAATGGCAATTTCTTAAAGTTTTGAACATTTAGTGATTTTATGGAAATTAATGCATTGGCTAGAATATTGGACCTTAAAATTATTTTCTTTGGACTTTGGCTTATTTCTTAGCACCTTCGTTCTTTTACACGAATATTAAGGCCGTGATTAAGAAGAAAGCAAATGGCAATTTCTTGAAATTTTGAACATTTAATGATTTATGGGAATTAATGCATACGCTAGAATATTTGACCTTAAAATTATTTTCTCTGGATTTTGGCTTAATTATTAGCACCTTCCATCTTTTACACATGATCGTGATTGAAAAGAAAGCAAATGACAATTTCTTGAAGTTTTGAACATTTAATTATTTTATGGAAATTAATACATAGGCTACAAGAAATTGCCATGTCTATTTCTCTTCTTCACTCTCTTTCTTCGACTGTGATAAATATTTTTGGTCCTAGAGAAAAATGAAATGACAAATTAACCCCGGAGATCACATTGACATTGGTCATGTAGTGTTGTTGCAATAGTCAAATTGGTCTTTTGCAAGGATGAGACTTTTGCGACATGAGGTATTTATTATGAAAGGTACCCTTAACGTCATGGTGGGATTCACATCCCATGCCACTCAGACGCGTGATACTGTATCACGACTCACTAAATAAAATTATTAGGTGGTCGGTCACATGACATGGCCAATTACAAACTATTTAAAATGATATAAATCGATTTTAGTGAATTTTAATACATAATAGTTTGTAGGCAGCAAAAGACTGAATCATTTATGTTGGGAGTTTCTCATAAATCCCCCAACAACCTAGTTCCAATAATGACTTGGAAGATAATCCTATCCCGAGATACATTAGTTACACAACAACCTTGCAAATGTTGTACTTATTCTCAAAAATCTTGTGTTGTGTTTGTAGTATCCTTCAAATTAAAATATATATTTGAATCTTAAATTAAATTTTAATTATTGAAAAAAAAAAATCTTAAATTAATTTTTTTTTTTTTTTAATTTTATGGCAGCGATTCAGTGCTTTAAAACGTAGTATTAGGAGTTCATCACTTTCTGAATTTTGACTTTCTGAACTCTTTATATGTGTTTGTTACATAAAAAATAATAAATGATGTAGTTTTGAAACTATTTGACAGTACAAGAGAATTTGGTGTAATTTGACTTACATATTTAAATAGACGGTTATCTTAAAGACTTTCGGCTCCTCAGCCATTTAAATTTTAAATATGGCAAGGAGAAAAGATAGAAATGGAGATTACCAGACTACTCTGACCATGGCTCCCTACTTAGGTTGATGGAAGATACCATCAGGCTAAGCTATTTTTGATTGACCATCTTGCTTCCCCCTGTTTCGCCTTGCTCTATTGATTTTGTATATAGTGGGTGTAGCCCTACTCCTTTGTGTACATGATTTTTTTCTTCTTAATATATTATCATTTACCAAAAACAAGACAAAAAATATGTAGAACAAAAAGGGGAAAAAATGAAAAAAGAAGAAGAGCTAGAAAGTGATTTTAAAAGTAAGACTACAAAATATTTTTAAATAGCAGAAATCGGAAACAATGGATATAAGGCTGCACATCTGAATCTCCTCGGACTTTGCAATGACGGAAGCCTCGCGCACTCGGCTAGCTCTTTTTTACTTTGGAATAGCAAATGCCCTTAAAGAAGCTCCCAACATGCTCCTAGCCATTCAAAGATGAAATTTTACATCGCCAATGCAGGTTCACAGGTAAAATAAAAACAAAGATAATGCTAGGACAAAGTGCTCATCACCCCCTTGTCCTAGACGTGATGGAAATTCAACATCCTACCTATAATGTAATTTCCATTTACATCAAGACATATGCTTGAAATTTCGGAAAAAAAATTAAATTAAATTTTTTATTTTTTTAACCTATAACGAAAAATAAAGTTACAGATAAACAAAATCTTTAAGATGGAAAGAGAAGAAGTAAACATTGTTGTTAACTGCACTTTTTCTTCCCCTTCTCTCAATACAACCACCACCACCATTCACACAAACATACTAACCCAAATTCTGTGCAGCTAAAATTAAACAGTCTTGAACAATAGATTCACAATTTTACTATGGCATTCACATTCTCTGCCATCTATCCATTCCCATTATGCAGTTGAGGACAAAAGGAGTTGCAGCTGTCATTGAAATATGCACCAGGTTATATAGAGTGTGCCTAAAAATAACTTTCACCAATAAGAAAAATCCCCCAAAGGAATCAAAGAGCTACCTGAATTGGTGTAGGTTGGACTGCGAGTAGAGATTTGGTCTCCACCATTGGTGGATTCCATGGGCTTGTTTAAAATCTTCATAAGAGCTCAGATTTATTGTCAGATTTGCTGAAGGAAGAAGATGCAGTGATTCTGAAGCCTTCCCACTTGAGAATAGACTCCCTATTGAATTCTGTGTTGCAAGCCTTTCAATTTCTCCGGCACCAAGCTTCACCATCTTCTCCCTGTGTTGAAAATACCCAATATACTCTGAGCAGATGGGATCAGAAGGATTCACAAAAAGGTTGGGGACCCATGCAGATAATACAACAAAAGTGTCATTTTCTTGACGCCTTTGTTGATGACCCTTTAGAGCAACAGCAACTCCTGCCTTGATGACGCTGCTTGTAATGCGTATCCCATGCTTCACTTTATGATTCTTGAACTGCTCTATTGGCGCAGAAATGAATGGTGAATTGAAAAGGTAAGTTTCAATAGGACAGCCCGTCTTAACCATTTTCTTTCCGGCGAGCAGTGCGATGGCTGACCCCAAAGAATGTCCAGCTAACCAAATGTTTGCAGCTCCAGCTACAGCAGCCATGTTTTGAACTTCTTGCATTGCAAGCTGAAAGCGGGAGCTCTGTTGAAGTCTGTTGCAAATGAACTGGAGATCCAACTTGAGATCCTGAGACCTAGTGTCTGGTTTGGGGATTGTGCCTCGAAAGGCAATAACAAATCTTGGGGGGTTTGGGGCCATACCATAACAGTAGGAAGCTGGGAATTTGAACTCATAAATTGCGCCAAAGATGGAGAGGTCAGCATTATCTACTAGCACACGGACTAACTGAAAATGAAAAAAGTCCCACCAGGGACGAGCAAGAGCTTGAGGCCCTTGGCGTTTCTGCTGGCGATCACGTTCCAGAATGTACACTCCCTGAACCAAGCTAGCAGCAACAGATCGTCGGTGATTTGGGTCTTTCCTGCAAAAGAAAATAACAGAAAAATAACTTCTCAAATCACTTGAACATAGAGTATTTCAGGAACCTGAAAGATAAAACCACTAAAAAAGAATAGCTCTAACACAAACAAGAACACCTTATTTATGTGGTTCACCCAAACTAGCTATGTCCACAAAATCATTCCAATTTCACTATTCTATAAAATAAAATAAAAAAACTCCGGCACCAACAAATACCTATTGGAAGTAGTTGAGGTAGATATCACCACATTTAAGCTTTTGCCCTTTTTGTAAATAAATCAAACCCAATGGTATACAGAAAACCAGACTAGAACATCAACAACACACACAGTCCCAATCCAAATCAATATGAGAACTTCACACAGTGGAACTTAAAATTGTCCAATCAAACTTTGAAAGTCAAACCATTCGAGATTAAGCAAACAAACTATAGCTGAAAAACGGTCTTACCAGTTAACAGCAGTCAGATGCAGTGGTCCTGAAAGGCTGAAATTTTCCCTCGGAGATGCCATGAGTGAATTCCTTTTTGGCCTTCCACCTGAGGTCCTCAATGAGAACTCTGTACATGGTAGAATTGAAAGCCAATAAGCGAATGGTGTATTCTCCAGAAACATAAATGAATAGCCCTCGAAGACAATGATGTCACACTTGCTTTGATAATTATAATCCAAAAAGTTAATGCATAAAATGTTTTAATGAACACAAGGTTGGAGTCTTTTCAAGGTGTTCTCTCCTTTTTATGCCTGGGAGATCTACTTGAAGGTTGAATGCAAGAGTGCCAATGTACAATGGTATAGAATTATATGATATGGAAACACAGTACAAGGGATCAGCTTAAGGGTTAAGTACTGACTAATCTAAGCAACTATACTTTTTCATTTTTCCACTCAACCATTGAACAACCCAACAAAGAGGAAAGTACAAACTAGATAATGAGGAAAGTACAACCAGCACAAGTGTTGTCGACTATTAGATTGGTAATCCACAGGTTTTTCTCACTGTTAAATCATATGGGAGCATCTGTTGTGATACATAGAATTTCTAATGTTTCCAGGTACCCAAACCCATTCAACATAAAAAGAACCTAGGTAAGGGATTAATGAATCAAGACCTCTAATTTATATCATAAGATATTAGTCACTGGCATTTTCTGCACTTAAGAATGCATAATTCATCAACCCATGTCCATTCATCCCTCTAGGCCTGTTGGGTTCTTTCAGTGAACTTATACTTTCAAGTTATTATTAGAAATGATAATATCATCTCCAAACTGGAAGACAGTAGTTAAAAAATGACTTCTTCTGTGGGTAAAGGGTACATTTTCAAGTGGTCTAGGCTTTGGGGAAAATCTATTCATAACAATACCTTGTTTCAGTCCATGATTACGTTTTACAGGAATTTGCCACCAAAATCACCAAACTAAAGGAAACTTTTTTATTAGAAGATCAAGGATTAGAGTTCTCTGATGTGCGAGGACAACTTCTCTTAGAAGTTGAAAGCTTGAAGTTCTAAGAAGTATCACAGAGAAAGCCACTTGAAACATTAATAGAAATACCACAAATCTTATATCCAAAACTTCAGCTAATTTGCATGAAACTCCTATTTGGATGAGGAGGTATGATTGCAGGCAGATAACTATTAGGAAGAGAGATGGTGAGAAAAGTATTTGGACTGAAATATACATAGAAGGATTGATTAGTGTTATCTACTCTTGGTTTGAACATTGACACAATAAATAAATTATATTTAGATTACATATTATACAAATTTGTTTCTTTTGCACCGTGAAAGAATATATAGTGTTCCTTCAATCTGAAAATATCATTATATATTTGTGTTTGTCATATAAAAGACATTTTTAGTTCCCTATTAACTCTTGTAGGCATCCAGAAAAGACTAAAATAAGCAATACAACAACAATTTATTGGAAACTATCAGGCTGGAGAAAACAAGTTCATAGCAGGTTGTAAGTGTTAAGGTTAGGAAACAATAGGAGTCAACTTCTGAAATATGATGAACAAGACCTTGGTAGGTCATGGATGGGAGAAAGCTAAGGCAGGCAAGCATGGGAAGAGCTAGAGATGAGGCGAAGGAAGAGAGTCCTGCCAACTTTGTATTGTTCTTTCTCTATTTCTTAACCATTTGCAGTTGGAGAATGACCTGTATTTAAGGTGCAAATCGTGGAGCCACCCATTAATAATAATGGAACTCTGTGCAAAGTTTCCTTCCATAATATGAGTTAGTTACTACCTCATGACCACTTAATACTGCCCCCAAACATCTCATTGCATTTTCCAGCTGAAATGGAATATTACCACTGAAATTGCATAAACAATTTGATACTTGACGTGTCCCCGCTCTTCCAGGTGCATCACAAGGAAAGCAAAAACAAAGATTTGTTTTATCCGCTATCAAACAGGGCAAACCAAATCAAAATAGGGTTGATATACAGAATTTCCTTGATTATTCGGACACACCAACTAGGTATGAAATTACATTAGTAGCCTCTACTTGTGTCCTAGCTCATCTAAGAGCTAGATTTGCCTAAATCATTTGTCTCTTGCCTTCAACCTTCCTCAAATTAGCTTCTGCTATTTCCTTAATTGCTTATCACTTGGACGCGCCAGTTAGGTTTTACTTGTCAAACACCCTTGAAGAGCCCTGTGTCTATCCCTTTAGTATCAGGGCCAAAATGCAATCAGTGGCAAACCATGTGTGTGCCTTGCGTATTACATATGTCCTGGGACACAATTTGGGTGAATCGGATTACACATCAACTTCCCTTTATTTAATCCAACTAAAAAAAAGAAACGACTTATCTATATGGGATCATGACATAGCATCCAATGGGCATAGCATAATAGAAGGACCACAGGGCAGTGGATTGACCAAACAGTGATCGTTAAGTGTGTGCTTATACTTTGACCACAAGGATCACAACACAACTTCAAAAACCTAGTGATTGTTACTTAAATCACAGTGCAGTATGGAAATGGGTATAATCCCAATAGTGGTAGTACAATGTGATGTCAAGGATCACAATGCAATAGTTAGGATTATAAATCACCATGGAAGGGGTGCATCATGATCGCGGAAAATAAAATGCAATATCAAGAGTCACACTGTAAACATTGGGATCACAATGTACCACAGTACGAACAAATTGGTACCATAAGATTACAACGAAAGGTCAAGAATTAAACATTATACAGGATATCACAATGTACCGCAGAAGGGGCACATCGCAATTGAGAATTACAATGCAATGTCAAGAATCAGATGTATAGTGGAGATTAAATCGAACTACAGGAGGAGTAAATTGCAATCATCAGATAACAATGCAATGTAAAGAATATGTCACACCAATGTGAATGAGTTCTCTAATATTGCCTCCAACTCAAATAAGTGTGTTAAACACTCGAAATCAATATGAAGACTGCCATACGTTTTTCAGACAAGGAGATACATTGTGTTTAACACACATCATATTTTGTAAGGTTCCATGTGTCATCTACCAAGAAAATCACATATCATAATTAGTCCCATATCAACGAAGGTCACTCTGCATGTAACCTAAATAAGAGTTGACATGTTCTTAGATTTCAATATCTCGTGCACGCGCGAGAGAGAGAGAGATTAGCAAACAATGCAGAACAAACTACATCCAAGTTTCAAACAGGAAAAGCTGAGGAATAAGATCAGGAGCAAATCTCACATGGCATTTGACATGCTATATCCAGGATGTATGTGCATCCCCAGTGAACCACACTAATGGTAACCCAATTGTTTGGCCAACTACCCACTAATTTGAGGGTTTTCCATCTTGGGCTTCTACCTTGAACTTTTATGAAATAGCTCTATGTGCCTAGTCAAAATGTCCAAAATCCATGAGGCTCGTGACCACAAAAACCGAAAAAACAACATGGCTGGATACTTTTTTGAGAAGCGCTTAAAGGCCTAAGTCTTCCATCATGATAAATGGTCTGAACAATACCACACTGAAAACAAATAAAATAAAATAGGCACTTCAAGAAGGAAACATCTCCCACATTTCACATCTTCGTTTCAGCCTAAGACACGGCATGAGGCGCGCTGGATGAAAAATAGAACTTGAGTTGCTGATAACATCTCAAAAAAACCTTCAAATGGAATTAAAGTTACCTAAACAGAACTTAGAAGCCGCATTCCTAAACATAAGGTGTACCAGATTAATCCTTTTGCCAGTGTATGCTTAAGCCACAAAATATCGAAAGATCAAAAAGCAACAGGTCTATACATGAATTTAAAACATGAAGTCAATAGATGAATTAAAATCATAAAACATATATCTTAACACTATAAGAACACAAACTGCATGCTGTGATCATCAGTAGAAGAAACTGGGCATCAATTACATGACATAAAAAATGAAAATCAGAATCTCAGCATACATATATGAAATATTTGATAGCACAATAAAAAGCAATTCAAGTTCATGCAAATGTTGTATTTAAATTTAGCAATAAATTAAGAACCTGGTCAAAACTTACATTCAAAACTCTTCACACCAAATCAAGAGTCTCAAAGCGTTAATTGATGCTATTGAACTCCATCACCCATTTTAGCTTATTTCTGCACTATGAGAGAGAGATACCAAGAAAAAATGTACAAATTGTTAAATCTTTTGTGTGAAAATTTCAAAAAGTCAATGCCAGCTTCTAAATTATGGAATTTAAAATGGCAAAGTTGAAATAATATAATAATACAAACAGTCAGATTAGAAATTTAATTAGAATATAAGAATCTTATAATAGATCAATAATTTGTTATGAGCGAAAACTTGGAAAAGACAAGTTCAACTTTAAAATTATGGATTTTAAAAGGCAAACTTGAAATAATATAATACAAATTAATAGTATTCTATGCATCTTATAATAGACGAAACAGAATATATAATTTATTCTGAGTAGAATTTTGGAAAAGCCATGGTCAATTTTTAAAAGGCAAAGTTGAAATAACATAATACAAATAGTAATCAGTAATTTATCAGTATAGAACTAGGGTTTTAGCAAAGTGACAACAAATACCTTTCCAAAATCCAAACACTACTTAACAAAATACAACTATAATGCAGTATATCTTTATAATATATGTATGTCTGCCTATATAATATATAATATTTGGAGAAATGACTTACCTTCGATGTTTAGAACGATATTACGTCTTCGGTGATTCAAAAGAAATCAAATGGCGAACTCTTGAAGTTTTGATTACAGATAGAGTTTCACCATGACTCTCTCTCTCCGCCTCTCTTTCTCTCTACTTTCGTCTGCAAAATTTTGTCCCAGAGGAAGGAAGATGAAATGACAGATTTGCTCCGGCGATCTTGTCGACAATGGTCCTGTTTACAGTGGATACGGCCGCGTTCTTATTGGTTACGTCGTTGCCGGCGGAGTCAAATTGCTCTTTTTTAACCAATGCCTCGCGTTGACTTTTGTTGATTACCACTAAGATTTAAGACTAATGAAACGTGTGGGCCCGGCACCATTCTCAATAGTCAACACTATGGAATTGGATGAGCAAATTCAATCTTGTTAATCTTTAAATTTTATAATTACGATTTTGTTAATCCTTCCTCATTTCTCACTTAAACAATATATTTTTAAAAAAATTATAATAAATATATAAATTTCTCAAGTCACATTTTTCAAAAATATAAATATATTATAATTTTAATATTTTAAATATAACTACATACTAATACTATGAATCAGACTAATATAATTCAGACAATCTTTCTCGGGTAAACAAAATTACATTTTTATTCTTTTACAAAGTATATAATGGTGATTAACATATGAAAATATTTTTAAAACATTTTTTATATACATACATATATTTAGTAGCATATATGTGTACAAGCGTTCAAGCCTCAAAAATTAATAAATTAACAGTCTTACCCAATCTCACAATATCATTGGGTAAGATTGTTAATTTATTAATTTTTTATTCAAAATTCATTCGAATTTAATTTATAACTCGATTATAAATTAAAAGTTTAATTCTATTATTTGTAACCAATTCAAATTTGATGATCTGTTAAAGGGGCGGGTCAACGTTATTTGAGGCCTTAGGCGAAAAAAATAAAGTGGCCTTTTAATTAAATCTACTTATATATTTATGTCAGTATTATGATAATTATTTATTTTATGATTTTTAAACCTGTCACTAAATTTTTTCCAAACTTTAGTTTCATTATTAATTAATTGGCCATATACTTTCTAATAGTCACATTTAACAATATAAATAAAAATTATAAACAAAATATATAATTTTATGATAACAAAAATTAATAAAACTATAAACTAATTTAAGTTATAGAATAATAGAAACTGATTTCGAATAATTTGGTATAAGACTCCAATAAATTCTTTAATAGAATATAAGTGTATTCAAAATCTTATTATAGAGTGAGATTGTGAGATTGTGAGATTGTAAATTGAAACAGTGGAGAAGAAGAAAAAAAAAAATTTATAATGAGAGAGGAGAAAAAATATATATGGAGTAACAAAAAAAGAGAAAATAAAAGTTAATAGGAGTTTTAGAAAAATATAGAAAGTGTTACCAATTTTCACTTAAATATATATTTAATATTTAGTGTGTGTGTATATGCTGATGTAACGAGGGTGAGAGAGAGCCAAAAAAAAAAAATTATAATAATACAAGGATAGAAATATTTTGGGCACACTTTGTATTTGTTGAGGTTTAATAATATAAGAAAATAAAATATTTAGGTAAGTTATAATATATAAAGAAAAAAAATTTGGGGGTCCCTCAAAAAAAAATATAAAGAATAGAAATGTTAGGTCAATTGTCAAATTTCTCTATACGGTAAAGTTTAATAATTAAAGGAAATACTATAATTGTTTAAGAAAAATTATAATATATAAAGAAATAAAAAATTATGGGACATTCTTATTAGATGAGGCCTTAGGCAACTGCCTAAGGCTATAGCCGCCCTTGTCTGTTAATTAAATATATCTTCTATGAATTATTGTTAATTCAATTAAATCTGAATGCAATATGTTAAGTGATGTACTTTTTTTAATCCAAACCTCTGCTTCTTGCACCTGCAAATTACAACTGAAGGTAATTTTGCATCCCCACTTTTTCTTGGCGTGGTCCATGGTAATTACAACTGAAGGTAATTTTAAGTTTTTTACCAAAATATTATTTAAAATTTTGAAAAGAGGTCCACTGTTTGGTTTAATCAGTAAAAACTTGACTCTCAAGCATGACATCTCGTGTTCGAATATGAGGAGAACCAACTATGTATAAACAATTTTTAAAGAAAGTCTTTGCTAGACTCTTTGATATAAACAAAAGAACTCACTCAAATTTATTGATATAGCCATAAATAAGATTATTGTCTAAGTAAATAATTTTAGTCTCTGCATCTCTACGTATTTTCTTCACATTGGCTCCACTCTAACTCGGTGGCATTAGTGCCTTTAAATTGCAAAATGCAACAATTACGTGGTGTGTAAGTGGATTGGTACTTAGGCACTTGGTACCCTCAATTGCTCAAGAACTTGATGTTTTTTGACTTGTTGAGTGATCAGGTGATCCATATCCAAAAGGGTTCTTGCTTGCCCAGTTCCATTGATCCCGGCACATCTCTTCAATCCCGTATTCGGCTCTGAAAATGTGTTAATCATGCAAGACATTAACAATAAGAATGAAACTTAACTAGTTCAATGCTAGATACTGAGTTGTCAAGTTCACACAAGGAGTATGGTCCTTAAAGAACAACTCGATTCCTACAATGTCACTTTGTCAATATGGTCACTCCATCAGAATGACATGTAATACTGATCAATTAAGTACGATGTGCTTCAAATTAATATATGCATGCATATTCATATTTTGGTTACATACTTCCAATTCAACTCGCGCTCTGCTTTGTCTGTTGATGCATAAACAATTTCAGCATCACCAGGTCGTCGCCCAGCCATGAGCAGGGGGATTTTCTGTGACAGCAAATATAATTCAGCTGAAACTAATCAAGAGAAGGAAGCAGCAACTCACCGAGTAGTAGAAAGAGGTAAAAGGTTAAATGAATGGTGTCGAAATGAAGGTGGCTCTATAGTCCCATATAAAAAAATTGCAGACTTAAAAATAGATACCAAAGAATGATGAATTTCCCTCTCACTAAATTAGGAGGGGATGCTACCTTTCCACAGGCCTTCTCAAATGCAGAAACCAACTCTAGGACTGATGTTCCTTTACCACTTCCCAAGTTATAAACTTCACAGCCTGTAGTTGTCAACAATACCATTAGGCTCAATTTACGAAATGTGCAAGTCTGGTATGACAAAAACAAAAATGACATGAACTGTACATTACATTAAGGCCAGTATTTATTTTATAATGCCTCTTTCAGGAGTATTAGCTCAATAAATAGAGAATGACAAAATAAATTATCATGATATACTAAGAAACATAAATCTTCAGGCTCTATAAATTAGATACATGAGAGGTCCGTAGGACAAGTACTATGGATTATATCAGATGTAAAATTTCATATTTGGAGCACATAAATACCTATGTTGGAGTCAAATAGTTTGCGTAATGCAGCAAGGTGTCCATTTGCTAAGTCAACAACGTGAATGTAATCCCGAACCTGGAAAGAATCAAAATAGAATAGAAGAAATGTCAGATAGAATTTGGTATTAGAACTAGAGAACTTGGGGAAAAGGAGTCATATAAATGACATTTCAGTTGTATTCTGCACAAATTTGAATTCCGCATTTGTTTCTCCACAGAAAAGCTCAAAATCCAACTAGAGTTCCCTGAAAATACATTAAATTATAGTTTTAACAACAAAATGCAGCATCTTGTGTCCTTAACTTTTTGATTTCTTGTTCTAGTTCTTTGTATATCCATAGCACCTAAAGATGTTCTACATAAAAATGTAATTTTCAGGAAATAAGTGAATGAAAATTGCTATGTCACTGAACTACATTCATTCTCTTTAAAAAATTCAACATGTATATAGGAATATTGCTTGAGAAATTCAGAAACATCAGCACTTATTATGTGGTTAAATTTTATTTTCCTCGATCATACAAATAAATGGAAACCAACCTCTACAAAAATTTCAGCAAACCAGCTTCTAAAAATTTATCAACGCCTATTATTATCATATAAATGTGCATAGTGAAACATAAAGAAGACACAAGTTCAAAACAAAATTTGTAAAAACTAGGTTATATCATTGTTTGGAAGATGAAGTACCCCAGTTCTATCCTTTGTTGAATAGTCACTTCCGAACACTGTCAGCTCAGGTCGCCTGCCAAGAGCCACTTGTTGTATGAAAGGCACGAGATTGTTTGGGGTTCCACTGGGATTTTCCCCAATACTTCCACTGGGATGTGCCCCAACTGGATTAAAATATCTAAGTATTATGATTTTCCATTCCGAGTCTGAACTGTAGATATCACGACAAACTTCCTCCATGAAAAGCTGAAACAGAATACATATCATCACACTATGGAAGTGTATAGTAAAAATGGTGTGGCAACGATGTAGAGACCGAGCAAATGAGGATTAATGTTCCTCTTCTCTATGTTCACGAGCAAGCAATATGACAAAGTGTTAACCACTAGAATATGGCCTGAGACGTACCTTGGTTCGTGCATATGGATTCGCTGCACAGAGGGGAAAATCCTCTGTACATGGAACTTCCTTTGGCCACCCATAAACAGTAGCTGATGATGAAAATACAAGCTGAAAATGGGGATAACATATTGAAACATTAGCTCTCTTTTTGATGGCAAAGTCAGTTTTTCCTGATAAACACAGATAGATTGGAATTTTAAATGAGCATGGACAATAAATGTATATATATGAACAATACCTTTTTGCATCCATGGGAAACCATGACTTCCAAAAGATTTATTGTACCAATGACGTTGTTGTTATAATAAAGCAATGGATTTTTCACGCTTTCACGCACAGCTTTCAATCCGGCAGTGTGAATAACAGCATCAAAACTGAAAATGGAGGGTAAGTACACATAAATTAGAGTATATGAAGTTGGAAAATTTAGAGAAATCTTACTGTATTGAAATGTTCAATTATACAAAAATTCAACCATTGTGCACACAGCACATTTATCTGTATACTTCGATTCTTCGTAATGCTTGGATGTGGCATATCAACAATATGTATCTCAATTGAACTGTATCATCATATTACTATATTTATGAATTTACAATTAAACACAGCCTAATTTATCATCATAGATCGAGGCAATTCAATTCTAGAATTCAGTTAAAAAGGAGCAAACTTTACCGAAAAGTGACTCATTGCAAAAAGAAATGTAAGACCCTCACCTTGTGCAAGCAAAAAGTTTCTCCAATGCTGGTTTGTCCCGCAGATCCATCTGCTGGGGAGAACATATATGTGACAATCATGGGGAGAACATATATGAAAAGTGCAATTTGCAGAGGTAAAATGACTTTCAACAGCAACCCTTTTGATGTCATACATCAATATACATGTATAAATGCTAAATGAATATTCAACAGAAATTTGGCGCCAAAGAGCATATATCTTTCCCCATAATGTGACTAGCAGAAACAATGCCAACGCGTATAAATGTATAATGACTAACAAAATCTACTAAAATCAATATTTTTAGGTAAATGTAGTCGAGCAGATAACGAAATGAAGAAATGAGCAGAAATATATGAGACACAAATAGTCAACAAAAAAGTCCTATACAAGAATTTTCGCAGGAAATAACAAGTGAAAGTATTTGAATGCAATTGGTACGGAACCTGATAGAAGGCAAGGTTCTTGCCAAATTCTCCGGCGAGTTTTGCAACTCTTTTGAGGACAATTTCTAAGGGAGAGTTTGGAATGTCAATGACAACCACCTTGAATCTTCCCAACAGAAGTTGAACAACTGTGTGGCTTCCCACATACCCAGCTCCACCAGTAACTAAAATGCTCCTAGACATGTTAGAGATTGAAAATACAGAGTTTTAGAGAGAGATGTTTATGAATGTTTCAAATTAAATAGGGAAATGAATAAATTATATTTATACATATATATAAAAGAATTAAAGGCTCTTTAAGACACTACACAGTTTGTTAAGAAACTGTTAGTTTCAGACACTACACAGTTTATTAAGAAACTGTTAGTTTCAGTAATTCTTGAACAAATGTGTTCCAATAAAATTCAATCAAACATGCCAAGAATTAATATGTTCCATAAAGGTAACTGTTGTGGTAGAGTTCGTACAGATATATATATACCTGTCAGATATTTATGAGTTTGATTAAAACTGTCACAAAGCTTTGAAAAAATAACGCAAAAAATAAAAAATGGAGATGCAGGGAATCGAACCCTGTGCCTCTCGCATGCAAAGCGAGCGCTCTACCATATGAGCTACATCCCCATTCGTTAATGCAAATGAAAAATACATAATTATATAAATATACAGTATAGTTGTAAATAATACATTTGACCCCAAACCCAAACAGGCCATTGGGCTTAAACGCACAAACAACAGCAGAGAACTAGGCCTAAGCCCAAACCAATGGAAAGAAGTCAGAACCCAAACAAAGCAACGTTTACGGGCCTAAGAAAATGTAGAATAACTCCGTCAATGTTTTAATTACTTTGTGTATGTGGCCGTCAATGTTAATAAAATAAATAAATAAATAACAAAGGAATTTGAGTTTCACTGTGAGATTAATCCACCCAATATTTAACAATTGCTTTTTTATATAGTTAAATTTGTTTTGGATAACTTGGAACAACTGGCTGTACGATGATAAGACAGTAACTATGCATAGTTGCACAAGCTGAGTTTCTTTTAAATATGTTTGGACATAGTTTTGAAATTGACATTGAAAAGACAAAAAAAAATTGAGCATTCAATCAATCATATAGAATTATCAATACACTACAAAGCACAAACTGTTTAGATATTCCCATCTCACGCCAAAGAGTGTCTATATTTAAACCCTAAACAGCAAGAAGATAGAATCATGTAATAATTGAATTATTCTCATATGACATAAATACAAAGAAATCGTGAGTTTGAAAAAAAATAAAAAATAAAAAACCTTAAAATTGCACCCAATATTTAAGGCAATGGAAATATTTAAGAAAAACACCTTCTTTTTTTTTTTCTTTTTTTTTTCTTTTTTCCCGGTGAATTAATAAGAGAATTTTTTTTATTGGATAAGTCTTAATAAGAGAAAACTTGTAAACCAGAAAGAAACCGAAAAGACCAATTCCTAATTTCACGTACAAGAACTTCACGAACTCCATAAACACTACTCAAAATTTTTAGGAAGAACGTGTCTTCAGCTCTCCATCTATAGTCTATTTATATATATATACAGACACACACATATTCTCTGATCAGCTTTACATTGCCACAATCCTCATTGCAGCGATCAAATTGAATCCTCTAATGGCGAAACTCTCCGAGTGCGAAGAAGATAATCATCAGAATCAGATTCAAAGTCAGAAGAAGCCAATGCAGAAGAAATCAACCACGCCAAAGCCCTTCAACGCGACGCTCGATCCCACCAAACCTATGGCCTTTCTCGAGACCGTCTTCGACTTCGTCTCCCGCGAGTCCGATCTCTTCAGGAGCGACTCCGTCCTCAAAGACATCATGGTCATGCTTCGTTCTGTGAAAGAGAAAGCAGACGTCGCGGAGAGGAAGAGGAAGGAGATGATCATGAGGCGCATGGCGGAGGAGAAAAGGGCGGAGGCGTCAGCCTCAGCTCCTCCGCCCCCAAAGGAAGAACCCAAGGGACTAGGTATTCTTCCGACTTCAAATGAACACGTGTCATTCTATAATTGTATCACTAAAAATTATTACACATTGTCCGGACAAGGTCCGAACCATGTACTAATTCCTTAGTGTCACATCAGCATTCCTCCTCACTGCTGAGGAGTCGATTATTGTTTCACCAAGTAATGCCTATTTTTGTTGTGTGCATGTTGATCATCAAATTTGAGTTTTATATATACATATAAAGTAAAATACTTTATATATATTTTTTTTGTTTATGTATAAATCCAAAACTAAACTAGTAATTGTATCTTGTTTTGGATGCATTGTACTAATATTTGCTTGCGGACATGGACATGGACATGGATGGACTTGGGACTAAATTATTCATGATACATTTTCATTGTGTCTTGGTTCTTCTTTTATAAGAAAGGTCAAATGTGATGGTATGGGTTGAGACTTCAAGTCTGCAGGGTTGCGTTTAAGTGATGTTGATATCAAATTTCTTGGAGAATCTAAAAAAATGTTGGATGGCTTTTTTAAAAAAAACAATCAAATTGTGGATACATATAGGAACTAGGCCAGATACATTCATGAGTATTGGAGAAATGGATGTGATTCTCAGTTTCTATTATCTGTATACTTTTGTGTCAAAAGTGTTATCTGTGTGACTAACAACTTTCTCTTCTCTCTTTCTGCTTAAATTTTGTTGGCAGTTCCCAACAAAGGTAATGGTCTCGATTTCGATAAATACTCTTGGGGTCAAAACTTGCAAGAGGTCACCATCAATGTTCCCGTTCCTCCTGGAACTAAATCGAGCTCCATTATATGTGAGATGAAGAATAAACATGTGAAAATCGGACTTAAGGGTCAGCCTCCAATAATTGATGTAAGCATATAACCCTTCCAATCATTTTATCTTCATTTTTATTTTTAAGAAAAAGAACAATAAAAATTCTGGAGTGGGTACTCTATGATTTCAGTCATGCAAAGTTTGTTTGATTCATGTGGACCCTTTTCACTCTAATCATCTTTGTTTGTCTACTTGCAGGGGGAGCTTTACCTGTCAATCAAAGTTGAGGATTGCTTTTGGAGCTTAGGTACGTTCCAATGCAAAAAACACTGGACATGCATGTACTCCCGCACAATTTTTGAACACTCTGTTTTTTATATTACTACCTCCATGTGATGGATACAACTTTATTGCTATTATCAATATGTTGTGTTATTGGGGATGGAGACATCTTTTTTGCTGATATCAATATGGGGATATGTTATTGGGGAATGCAGTGAACATAGTACTTAGTGAACCATCCAAATACTCTGCGTGTATGCATAAATTTTCACAGATTTAAGTAGTGATGCGGATAATAAATTTCTTTTTAGTATTTTTATCTATACAATTATATAAATGTCAAAAGAATTTTCAATTTTTTATATAATTTCTATTTAAATACAGTCGAGATTAAACTCTACTCATTGCAAAATATATATACACATCATATTAATTTGGGAGTTCTCTTGAAATAATCTACCTCCCTCGCATTTTCCTTCTATGGCTGTTAAAGAAAAGATGAAGGATGTCAAATTATGAATAGGTAAATAGTTGCTTCTCTAGGCTCGAGATCAAACAAATGCATACATATCTACGATGTGTCCTGTTATGTCCGTCTCTATGTAGTGATTAAAATTATATAATTAAGTAACAAATTCCATATTTATTTTGCACATAATGTAATTTTATTTAAAAATATATATTTTATATCTTAGCCATGTCAAGGACTCCATGCCGCATCTGTTTCCTATTTCCTTGAGGGTATCTTTTTTTTCTTTAGAATTGAACAGTCCAAGATGATAAATCCCAGTTAGAATTTGATTTCTTATCCTATTTTTTCAAAAAAAGTTAATTGATGCATGAAATGTTCACGCATACAGTACTTATGATTCTATGAAAATGTGTTCATCTCGTAGAGGATCAAAAATCCATTTCCGTACTTATGACCAAGCAGAACAAAACAGAGTGGTGGAAGTATTTGATTAAGGGTGAACCTGAAATTGATATTCAGAAGGCACAACCTGAAACCAGCAAACTATCTGATTTGGACCTAGAGACAAGGTCGACTGTGGAGAAGATGATGGTAAGACACTAATGCTTTTCCCCTCCCTGCGATAAAATTGAATAAATAAAGATGATCCCAAAAGGCAAATAGTAATGCTGCACAAATAAGTTCTCATCTTCTTTAGTTTTGTTAATCAACTGAACAGTTCTCATGCCATTTGACTAATTCTTGTCATAGTGACCACCTGTTACATCCCTTTTCTGTTTTCCTTTTCTTCATTTGTTATCTCCTTCCCGCATACAGTATAATAATCAAATGTTTTTTTTGTTTAACTATATGACTAATCCTTCTTGGCCTCCATCAATCCCACCATTTTATCTATTTATTTATTACCACTTACTCGTGGCAACTTATTTTGTCAGTTTTGTTCATGATGTTTTGGCAAGAGAAGTTTCTGCTACTGACTGTGATCTCTTTGCTTAATGCTATTTTCTGGTTCCCGCAGTTTGACCAGCGACAGAAATCCATGGGTCTTCCGACAAGTGGTGAGATTCAGAAGCAAGAGATTCTTAAGAAATTCATGGCTGAGGTAAATGCTTAAGTTAACCCCTGCTGCTTTCTCTATCTGTTTTGTCCAACACCAAAATTGTTTTACTAATCTTCTCATTGAATTCATGCAGCGCCCAGATATGAACTATCCGGGGGCGGGACAGTTTGTTTAATTGGAGTTCATTACTTGGAGATTCTACTACTCATAATTTTTTGTGAGGAGAGAAGCAAGTGTCCCTCTCATATTTTTTGGCTGTCTTTTGGAATTATGTTTTTTTTTTTTTTTTCCTCTCTAAACTTGATATGATATCTTTACTTTTTGTTTAATAAGATGACTTTTACTTTTTAGGATATTACATTTTGATTTGCAAAATTGTGTGGAATTTTGTGTTACCCCATATTTGGAATCATGGCTTGGTGACTATCTTGGATGTCTCTTAGTGGAACACGTTATGTTTTTGATGTGTTTATATTCCTCACTTCTACATCAAATGATTCAAATGGCATTTCAATACACTGTATTTGGCTGAACCTGAACACATAATTCTGTGGCCTGTGGTGTTTGGTTTTGGTTCTGATGTTATATATTCATTTAATTGAGTCTGTACTGTCAAACCTGGACTCACGTCCAGATGGGCCAGCCAAGCGACCTACCCAGAGCCATCGCGGACGGTTCGTTCTCCAAATTATGTCCCATTCACCTGGACACCTGGTATCGGATGGTTAAGTAACTTCAATTGCCCAGTTATGGTAAGGAGAGTCCTACAGATTGACTTTTCTTTTAGGGCTTGTACAAGTTGACCTGTCTGTGTTTGTAACGTTGGTTGTTTTAGTATGGACGGTTTATTTTCTTAAGTTGAAATATTGCATAATATGTGCATGAGCTAGAGTTGTTTTGTAGTGACACCTTTCACTTCAAGACTATATATATATATATATGCAATGCAATCACACCCAGAAACGTGCCCTATAAAGGCCAAACAAGTCGTTCTCTTACGCCCTTTTCATAAAAAAGTTATGGGTCCTCTCAGGGTACCACAAACATTGTCCTGCTCTACAGGGCATGTCCAAAACAGCTGACCCACGGAATTCATCCATCAACATTAAGTCTGCACTATACATACATTCTATATATATACATATATATCATTCTTCTCGATCGATCTAATTCAACGCGTCTTTGATGATCGTATTTGTGTTTTGTTCAATTATATATATATATATATATATCATTCTTCTCGCTCGATCTAATTCCATGCGTCTTTGATGATCGTATTTGTGTTTTGTTCAATTATATTTTGTGCTCTTTTATTGATTGACTAGATTGCTTCATGTGCATTGGAGTCCTATTTGTGTCTTATTGTCTAGGAGAAATTTAATCAAAGAACGAGAACTGAGGACTGAATAGACAATAGACCTCAGTTACTGGAGAAATAAAAAATAAAAAGGGGTAGTCCAGTCATTTATTTTATTGATAAAAGAGAATTGGAGTGGTAGAAGACTTTGTTGGAGGGCCATTATCATTTCCTTAATGTAAATATTTAGATATTTAAATTAACAATTATGCATATTAATATATTTTAGTAGCTTTTTGTGATAGTGCCTACAAAAATATCTATTCTTAGTTTAAAATATACGCATATAAACTTCATTTTCTTAGTGGATATAAATAATATATATTACTTCACATCATCTTCTTCTATTACAACTAAAAAAAATAATGGGGATAGCCATTGGTTAAAGGTTAGATATTTGTTATCTAACTCGTTGAGGCTCAACTTGTATGACATGATGGTACGTAAATTATTTGTATCAATTTTGAGAGAGATCAATCCTAATCAATCATTGTTCAAGGTAGAAAAAACAAAAATTAGCATCAAATGTCATAAGATTATGACAAGTCAAGTTGATCGGCTGAGCTGCTCCCTCAGACAACTCCTTTGTATTGGATTATGATTTCAACACCCGTGTAGTTATACAGAAGTTGTGCCAATTACAACGTGTTATGGACTGTCAAGTTGATTTCACTAGTCATTAGAGACTACAAGTGGTTCCTACGCAAAGTTGATTTACTGAAATGTTTTTTTTAAGGTATTGAATATGGTTAATACTCAACTCATAACATTATTTTTTACCTGAACTTACACCTCACCTTCTTTGTCTGCTCAGTGGGCACACCCGAACTCCTCTGAACTGGGTGCTTAGCATGACACCGAATCAATGATTGAGTCTGACTCTAATACTAATTATAAAGGGTCGGATTCTTTGCAATCCAATTCAAAAACTTAAATTATTAAGTAAAACTAAAAACCAATCCATATATACACATTTTTCTTTCCTTCTGGATCATTCACCTCTAACCAAAAATTGGGTATGTCAGTCTTTTTGGTACATATAAAAGCATTATTGAGAACTTTGTACATAAAGACATGATGGGAGTTGAGCACAAATTGATGATAAAAACAAAAAGGTCAATACATTTCCCTTAAAATAATTTGTTTTTTTGAATAAAAATGGCATTTCGCTATAGTAGTCTGTTTCTTTCCTTAGCAGATAATCAATAGAGAAGAGCTATTTGTCTTGTTGCCATAGAAATAGAGGAAAATTAAATATTAGGGAGACTAAACGAAAGATTTATTATTATTTTTTTTTTTTCACATTACACTCCTCTTTATTTCCTTGTATTTTTTGTTTATTCAGTAAAAAATTATCTTAAAGAAAAAAATAATTAGGAAAATTGTTTTTGCCTTCATTTTTATATGAATGGTGCTAACTGTTTGTCTTGTTGCCATAGAAATAGAGGAAAAGAAAATATTAGGGAGACTAAAAGAAAGATTTTTTTTTTTTTTTTTTTTTTTCACATTACACTCCTCTTTATTCCCTTGTTTTTTTTTTTTTTTTTTTTTTTCAGGAAAAAAAAAAAAAAAAATTATCTTAAGAATAAAATAATTAGGAAAATTGTTTTTGCCTTCATTTTTATATAAATGGTGCTACTCTAACATATGAATAGTGCAAAAAAGCAAATTAGAGGACTCTCGTGTTCTTGGTTCTTGGATGCATTCAAATGGGATTCAATGCATCTAAAGGTTAGAAGCCCTAAAATTTATATTTTCGGTTCTACTAAATCAGTTTGTAAAATATTTTTTTATTTTATATCTCTCACTAAAATTGTAAAAAAAAAAACTTTATATGAAACTCTTTGTATCCAACCCGAAGCCAACTCAATTACGAAATGACTACATAAACATTAAAGGAGAAGAATTAACTTATTTTGGGTCATTTCAAATGGAACTTTGGAAGCTTGATTTCGTGCCATACGCACATACTGGAATCATTGTAATTGACATTCACAAACTAACATTAAAATTGACATTCTTCAAAGTGCATTTTTTCTATTATTATAAAGCTTGATTCCAGACAACCAAATGCGCCCCCAAACTGTGTTTATGTACTACTAATTACCCTTTTTACTAACAAGGAGCACTTACTTTTGTCAATGTCAACTTACTTAGATGCCTCTCTCTCTCTCTCTCTCTAGTGTGTTTGAGAGCATATAAAAATGTCTCTCTCACACATCATATTTTTTTTTTTTGTCTACATTCAAAAGAATACAAAAAGTGCCTTGAATTTTGGGCCATATAAGGGCAACACAAGGGTCCCATTTTTGCCAAAGCAATTCCCATTCGTCTAGAACGACAGTGCCCATCACAATGAGACAATCCCACTCCAGCTGTTTTTCCTTTTCTTTTCATCCATCTTTTCCAGCATCTCTTTCATCTTTGTCCCACACCCTTTGTCCTGAAAAATTATTAATTAGGTATTTGGAGTATGGAAAATGTGGCACTCCAGGCCTGTTTAGTTTGTAATTCTAAAAATAATTTTTTATTTTTGTAGTTTTTAAAAAATTATTTTTTAAAAATTCAGTTATAAAAATATGTGATTTCAGATGACTTATAGGTTTTTTTTTTTTTTTTTTTTTTTTAAGAAGTTTTTGGGAACTGTTTACAGAATTACAAATTAAATCAAATAAATATTTTCTACATCAAGAAAATTAATGAATTTTTATTGGTTAGAAGTACTATACTATTGGTGTCTGTGGGTACTCTCATCTCTTCTCTAATGTCCCTTGAAAGTTTGGGAACACGGTATCAGTGTTTTGATATTGAATTTTGAAGATATTAGGGCCCGCTTGGATTGTAACTTTAAAAACAGTTTTATATTTTCAAAGAATTAAAAATTAAAAAAAATGTTCAAAAACTTTGTTTAGTTTAATTTTCTGAAAAATTGTTTTCTGGAAGATAACTGTCTTTAATAATTCTCTTAAAATAATTTTATATTTTCGTGTTGTTCAAAACTGTTTTCAGAATTATAAATCAAATAAAATTCTGTTTAGTTCAGTTTTCTGAAAAATATTTTTTGGAAATTATTTTTAGATAACTGTCTTTAATAATTCTCTGAAAATAATTTTATGTTTTATGAATTATTCAAAACTGTTTTCGAAATTAAATCAAGGAGAATTCCAAAAAATGCGACATAACAGAATTGACAAATAAAATTTTAATATATTAATTAATACAAAATTTCAATTGTAAATTCCTTTATGAACTTAAATCATTGAAAATTTTGAAATTCTAGAAAATTTAAAATATTTAACCTAAAAATTGAAATGGAAGTGTTTATTTTATCTATGAAATCATAATTTCAATTGAAACTTTGTGGGGGAGAAAAGCTGCTAAAGTGGGGGTGGCAAGAACATTTTCCTTACACAAAAGTAGGAATGGGTACTTCTCAAAATAGATGTAACGATTCCAAAAATGTGACTAGATTCATTTCATCACTTCTTTTGCCAATTTATACTTTCCTTCTTTCTCAATCTCAACTTAATGAAAGACACTGAGTGTTCATATTTGGCTACACCCTTTTGTGTTGAAACTTTCAACCAATCATGCAAAAGGAAACAAACCTGTGTGGAGGGGATCTACTCATACTCATTAAAATTAGGGGCAATATGGTAATTCACTTGGATTGAAAGGACAAAAGTACCCCTACGCCGACAACAAAAACACACGCCACTATGTGGAATTGGAATTATTTTCCATTACTGATTGTGAGGGCTCCCAGCATCTTTCAATTTTTTTGTCCTATCCAGGACAGCGATGACTTGCCCTACACAAGTGTCGCACCTAGAAGGCACCACATGTGGAGAGCTAATAGGTTCAATTCCAATTTAGGTGATGTGGAAGACAAAATGAGCTCATGTACCTAAAAGTAAGTGCTCCATAGAGTTGTAGGGAGCTTTTCCTTGTATAATTTTTTCTCTTTTTCCCAATGTGGGAATTTAAGGTTGTGTGCCAATATTTTTCTATGAGGCATGCCAAGGTGCATTCCTCATTAGGCACTTACTCATCACTCAAAAGTGGGCATATGCTCCATTCTTTTTCATTATTGGGGCTTATAGTTGATATTCTCTAATTACCTTTTCACACTCATCTTA